GGGCCGACCTGGCAATCACCGCAAATTACAGGCCCGACGACCGACCGACACATTCGGACCGGCGTGCGGGCCCTTTTTGTTCGGTCATGCCGTGTCTAGGTGAGGGAACCCGCGCGCAAGAAGGGCCGAAGGAGCGAGGGAGATCTCTAATGACGGGTCTGGGTTCGAGAGAGTGGAATCGAAGTGTTCGGTAACCTTGGCGCTTATAGCGAGAGGTTTTAACGGCGTGGTTACTGGTTGCGACTGGAGACACCGCGCCGGAATGGTCGCATTACGTGCTCGTGTTCCTGTCGGTTCGGGCGGCAATCGTCGTAGATATCTCGATGTGAGTGGTTGGTACAGAACGGCGTGCTGATAGCTGGCCTCTGAATATCGCGGAACGTGTAATCCCGAACACTTTTCAGTATGTCTGTCCGGGTCTGTGCTGTTACGATGAAATCTCACCATATGCGATGATATCGTGGGCTCTAAAGATCGGCTCATGTAAGTTCTACCTCTGCTTGCTATTAGCCTGAAGATCGTTCTACTTCGCCAATCCATGTGAACTAGGACGAGCGAGGACAGGCTCGGATCAAAGGCTTCTTCGACTCGAGAGGTCCTTGGCTTTAATTGCCTGCTCGATAACGTCATTGTGGAATTCGTTCACAGGCCATTAGAGCTCGAACAGTGGCATTGTTTGATTCTTGTCATTCAGCGGATTCCTGGATACGTTCCGTGAATAGATCGGGCACACCTTTCCCATTCACTCGCCATTGTTTCAACGAAGAAGTGGGCCTCGTTTTCTCACGAATGGCTATTTCGGTAGCCAAGATGCTTTGAAACATGTCTTCAATGGGCAAATTTGGCTAATGTGAGACCTAAGTGTTAACCCAAGCTAGCTGTGAAGGACGTAATGGTGGGAGCTACCTTTATGTTTAGTTTCCTCAAAATTACCTGAACGGTGGCTTGGCGAGTGGTGGTCTCTCAACTTCTACTTACGGTGCTAACATCGGTGCTACCGCCTCCCTCTTTGCTAAACGATTGGCTAGACGCATGCACTGCATGCCCTAGATGTGCTACATTCTACCATATGCGCTCTCTTTCTCTTCTCACCTTTTGCGCTCGCGCGTGTTCCGCTCCGCCGCGATGTGCACGCGCTCTGCATTGTGTGGGTGGGTTGTGGTGGGGAGGATGTTTCTGCGCTGACCACGAACACGGTTCTTCCATTACAAAGATCGCCTACCTGGTGATCGTGAGACGCATCCGGTGGAGATGGTGCGTGGGCAGCGGCGGATTCAGCGCCGCTAAGAAGGGAGGGGCGAGATGGAGATGATGTGTGGGAGAAATGAACTAACGGAGGAGTGTGTTGTGCTCAGAAGCGCACACGACTATGCGTGAAGATATAAGAAATGTAGATTTTGGTATGTTGTAAGCTGGCATGATTTGGGCGGCAGCGTTTGAAACTAGGCCTTGCGTTGCTCGTTTCAAGACAGGTTGCTTGAAATCGCAGCTTTGCCCGACAGGGATTGTCCAATGTCCAACCCACATTGGATAATGGTCCATAGTTTTCACAGCTACTCTGGCCCAAAGAAGACCACTATGGAAAACCAGCTTCGCTACATCTACTTGCCACTTGCCACTTACCTAAGCTACGACAAGCACGTTTGTCACTGCTGTCACTTTGGTCACATTTAAGATGAGCAACATTATTTTTAATTGCCGCAATGGATCAGAGCCAGCACTTGTGTACAGTTTTCTTGCGGTTGAGTCACATCGCGGGCGCGAACAGCGTAAGCGTCCATTCATATGTGTCACACCGCACTGAAGGGAAGGGTAACACCACGCGCGCACGGGCCGGTCAGCCAGACAACGCCTGTGTACCGTCTCTTCCCGACCACACAGCGAGACTGGTACGTGTCGTCTCTTGTCGCAACTGGGGCCACACACACGCGCCGACAGACAGACAGACAATCGTGCGCGGACACAGCTGGTGTCGGAAGATACGACCATCCATCCAGCGCCAGCTTACGCTCGCTCGGAATGGGCCAGAACACGGGACAATTTATGGTCGGCTGTAAAACCAACAGACGGCGAGCGTCCGACTGACGTACCGTGACGTCACTGGGGTGCTGGTGACGTCATTGGATTGTGGGTGATGTCATTGGATCGTTGGTGATATCGGTTGCCTGAATTGGTGATCTGAGATGCCGTGGAGTGTTTCAGAGGTGGCGAGTGGCGACTGGTCACGTATTCTGCCGTTTTAAGACTGGGTGGCTGGCTGAGGGAAACGTTTGAAGCCTGATTCGTGAATTATTGAGCTGATGTGATTTGAAACGAGACGGTTAAAATGCAGTGTTTGAAGCCTCGAGATGTTGCGAATGTTCTTGACTGCTGTGCTGCCCCCGCATTGATTCAAATTATTTTCCACGAAACGTCTACCTCACTGGAGTGGATACACTATTTCCCTTGTGGTCATTTATCAATGAAGTTGCTTCCACTGACAAATTATCTGGTAGTTATCGGGAACATTGCCTCATATGCGTGGCACATCTTCCTTTAGATATCACCCCCTCCCCAGCTCTTCTCCCTCCGTCCGCCGTGTCCCCTCGAGCCCTCCGCCCCGCCGTGGGTCCGGCGCCACCCCTAATGGAGTGTCCACAGCGGCAACCGCTGGTCAGACAGGCGGTGACTGATCGTGTCTCTAATGTCGACCGATGTCGGACCGTGTTCACCGCCGGCCAACAGCCCGCGGCTAATAGCTAATGCGATTCTGATGAGGCCCCGCGGCGCTTTGCGTCAAAGGCAGATTGAGGAGTGTGATGGGGAGGATATGAGTGGTGTTGCAGTGGTGGCTGGATGTAGTGTTAACGAGGGATGTGGTGTCTCATTGACAGCTCTGGAAGCAGAGAGGAAAGAGGCCTCCGGGCTTCGCGTGTATTCCCGCAACTGCTTGTGATCAAAATGCATTGCGGGCGTTTTACGAGATTCTCTGGGCGTTTCCGTGGACATTCGCGAAATGTACGCCTCATAAACAAATGTAAATTTTGTTAATTGTAGTGCTGAGTGCTCTGCTAGCGTATTTAATCTTGCTTATCTACTGTGGACTAGTCTTACATCAACCGAATGTTGATGATACTTATTTCCATAATTTACGTTTATCTTTTCTCATCTCGTATCCTGGGTATCTCAGCGGCCCTGCCATGAGTTTTCCAGAGTTGTAGTTTGGCAGAGGCGCCGTGGCCAGATACGGCGATTATCCCGGCCTGGCACCATCAATTTCGCCACAAGTGCCTCTGTCGTCGCCAGGCAGCTGTGAAAAACCGCCAGCAACGGCCGGCGTGCTGCCAGGTCTTCTGCAGGGGTGCTGTCTGTCGCCGGTACTTTTTGCGCCCCGCTCGTGCGGCGCGAAAAGACGGCAGGACGTGGTCTGCAAAACGTCCCACGTAGAGTCAACACTAGAGAAGGGGACGACTAAGTGCGTGGCACAACTCCTTCTCGGGAAGTTTTAAAAGCAGTGCCGCTGCCGGATGGGGCGTGTAAAAGTTTGAAAGGCTCTTGTCACAAGTCGATGGAGTTGAAGCGTGTTGGAGACAGTTTGGTTCCGTTCAGTTTTTATGTGAAGTTTTGTTGCGATTTATTCAATGGATAAACATTGTGATCTTGTGTCAAATCAGAGCTAGCATAAGCCGAGTACTGTAGCAAACAAAACTTTAATTTGATCGTTTTTAGTAACACATAATAAAGTGGATACCACAAAATGTTTGCTCCCCTCTGGTATCCTTACGTATACGCAGCTGTTCAACCGGAATTATTTCAACCACTCTCTTTTTACTTGTTACATTTTTATGATTCACGATAGTTGGCCGTGCTGTTTCCGCTGTAATGCCACTTTTCTTTTTCTGCTCCTCCAGGATACGATAATCCGTCTCAAAATTGTAAACCCAAACAGTTGTGGAAAAACAAAATGACATCGCTCTCGTGCCTCCAAAGGCTGCAGATGCGGGGCAATATCTCTCAATCCATCCTCTTTTTCATGCTGCCGGGTGTCTGGTAGCCGAATCGGTTATCTCCTCTCGCTGGCGCTGGCCCAATTTTCGGGACAGAAACGACCCGCTTCTTCCGAATTGCTGCTTCGGTCCCGGTTATTCCCACAAAGGCTGTTGTGTGTTTCCAGTGTTGCGTAGATTGCGCTTTTTGTGATAGAGCATTCCGGTGTCTCTTCAAATGAATGAATCTGCGAATACTTTTGGTTTGCTGTATTCTTGCTGCTCGCGCAAACGATTGGGTACTTTGCACGTTATCTTTATAAAGTTTCCAACCAAATTGTATTATCTAGCTCTCTATTTCTTTCTCGCTCAACCATCAACATGATTTTCGAATGATCAAAAGAATCAGCATCACAGCTTACCTGACCGGACTCGCACGAAGCTCACACCCATTCCACGCTATCGTTCCCCGCCCCCACCTCTCCTTCCCACCCTTTTATCTCGGCCGGGCTACGCTCGATGCTAAGCTGATAATGGCCAATCTCCTCCCTGGTCACTGATAATGAACCGATCACCCCCCAGAGATAAAGCTCGGTACGATGGCTTCCCGGTGCTTTGAGTATTGTAGTGCGTTAGCAATGGCTGTTACATACGAGGACTGTTTCAAGACTAGCTCTAAGATCAGAAACGCCTGAAAGTGTCTCATTGATTAGGTACTTTGATGTCAAATGTATCTTGTCGAAAGCGTTGTAGATTGTAGCTAGAGCATTAGGTCAATATTCGTTGCTCGAGGAATCGTGAAGGTAACCTGATCCTGTATAAGTCGTACTTCAATATATCCCCTGTCGCTAATGATTCTAGTCGCTCCTTTGCCTTTTCTTATCGCAGTCACTTATTTATTCGCTCGTTATAAGTGATTTGCGTCCTGAAATCGACCACATTTTCTGTCCATGCTAAATATCTAACCTAGACTTTTCTCGTGTGCGGTGTAGGTATACTGTAATTGACACTGACGTTTGTTTTCGTTTGTTGCAGGTGTCCCACGGAGCCAGTAGTCATCTGCCACTGCTGTCGCTGTCGCCATGGCCGCCGGCCGCCTACTGGCCGCCATCTCCGTGATGACCTTGACCTGGGGTCACGTGACCGCGGCGTCGGGTCAGGCGGCGCCCCGAGCTCAACGGTCCGTCGACTCAGATGATGGTGAGTGATACAGGGCTGAGTTTCGTCGGATGGGATGATTGTCTTTTTTGTTGAACCACTTTTTTAAACACCTTACAATAGTCCAGCTTTGACTGCAGTGCATCGGTAACATATTATTCATTTATTTGGGATGTTCCGGAGTGGAGTTTGTTGGTAAAGGACCTTCAAGCAGAAGCAACGTCCTTTCTGGTTGTTGATCTTGCTGTACTAAATGTGCCGCATTGGCCATTGAAATAATTTCGGTGTATCTCTTATTATATTTGTGCGTAGCTGTGAAAGAATATTTCCCCAAAAAGACACATCGATCTTTTCTTTTACCGAAGCCCCAAAAGCGGTCCGGGCGAGGTGTCCCGTTTCCCCACCGCCCGGCGGCCCATTTGCCATGAGCGGCACGTCTTGGGTCCCCTGGGGCGGTGTAGATCTGTCCAGATGTTCCCCTATCGGTACGTCATCGATAGACACCTGTGAAAGCCACCTGAGGTCCGCCTCCGACCAGTATCTCTGTATGGTGTCCACGTGCCGCGCTGTGGCGGCCTCCTCTGGTGTGGGGAGAGGCGGACAGTGTCCGGGACAGGCTGCTGTGACATGACGTGCCGTGCCTGCCACAACGCCGCCCCTAGGACGCCTATCGGTGACTTGGATCGCGGTGGCGTAGTGATTGCCGGCCACAAGTCATGGGATACGAGGAGGAGGGGAAGATCATCTTGACGTATCTGTGGGATAATTGTATTTGCTTCATTTTCATTGCTTAGAAGTTAGCTGGAGACTTAATACTTGGTGATTATTCGGCCCTCACCAAACTTTATCATCCAAAACATTCCACCGCCCTTCAATCATGGTGCCATGTGTCCTTTTATGAGCTGGATTCGTGACATGTCTCGCTGTCTCAGTCTTAGTATGCTCCGTTTATACATTCGTTCTTTATCAGCTGGCATCTGTTTGATGTCACCGCTTATGGTGTAAGTGTATATTCATATTTAGACAGGCATTGTCTCGCATGTCCTTCGCTGAGATCTCGTTTCTCCCGTTCTGTCGTAACACAGGCCTGCCGGCGTAACACTAACAGAGATATGATGGTGGTTCGTCGGACTGGTTCCAATTCCTACTCTCCAGTTTCTACTTTTCTGAACATTTATGTTCTTGTTATTGTTTTTTGTCTTCATTCCATATGCTCGTCCAGTTTCAGTTTTCCCTCTACATAGACTGTGTTTGTTTGCTTAGTATATACATTTGGTTCGTCTTGCCGTGATGCTCTTTGTCTGTTGTTTTGCAAATCTCTCTCATCTCCGTCTATCTCTGTCGTGCTGTCTTTCTCTTTCGCTTTTCCCATCCTATATCTCTCTCCCTCCCTCCCTCCCTCCCTCCCCCCTCTCTCTCTCTCTCTCTCTCTCCCTCCCTCCCTCCCTCCCTCCCTCCCTCCCTCCCTCCCTCCCTCTCTCTCTCCCTCTCCCTCTCCCTCTCCCCTGTCTCTCTCTCTCCTCTCTCTCTCTCTCTCTCTCTCTCTCTCTCTCTCTCTCTCTCTCTCTCTCTCTCTCTCTCTCTCTCTCTCTCTCTCTCTCTCTCTCTCTCTCTCTCTCTCTCTCTCTCTCTCTCTCTCTCTCTCTCTCTCTCTCTCTCTCTCTCTCACCGGATGTAATCATCTTCCTAAACATGACCGGGTGTCAGCTCCGATGCCTCTGACGCCGGCTAACTCTGTCGCTTTTTATCGGCTTTCTTTCCATCTAGACGTGTTATTTTCTCATCTAGCTGCTTACCGCCCTCATAACAAGCAGCTAACGAGGCATGGCAGACCCGTCTCGCTGTGCTGAGTGGAGTGGTGCGTTTGTGGGGGTGTCGGAACGGCTCTTTCATAGGTTCGAGAGAGGAAGTTGTTACCATGAATTTGCTGCTAGAGCAGTGTGGATAGAAAGTATTTTAATTATAAGGCAAATACCGCGCATTGTACACCGGTGCCAGGCAGGCAGCGATGCCTGACAAAGAATGGCTGCAAGAAAATGTGAAAAATGACGTCAATTAATGAAGTCATCATGCTTGAAGTTCCTCCATGATTGATTGGTTCGTTATGAGGCAATGAACATTGAAGAGACGTAGTACAATTTCAATGGAAGTGATTATCAAGCAATTTTCAACCGCTACGATCTAGCGCAGTCTTTTTTAAGACCCGTGACCTGAAAGAACAGCCTCGTCAGCCGGCGTTCGGTCAGGTTTCCGGCATGCACAGCGATCAGCACTGACTCGTGGCCTGTTCACGCCACCGCTGTCAGCGCCTGCAGTTGGCCGGAGCGTGTTAACGCTAGCGCTGTCAGCACGTGTCGATCACGTGGAGATGGCCGGCCGTGTTTCCTCATCCTGCCGACACGGAGTGGCGAGGCCGACGATGCGGAAATAACCCCTGCGCTCCGGCCGACCGGTCAGTCGCGTCAGCCGTGCTGGCTAGCTGAGTTACTCAGACGAGACGGTCAGAGGGGGGATGCAGAAAGGAGGGATTAACAGGTGTACGGTGAGTTAAATTCAAGCTGCTTGTTTCTCAAGAAAGGGCAGCAATTATTTCAGTTTTACATAATCTTACATCATCAACATCTTATCCGTGGCCTAAATCGGCTAGTTGCTGGCGAAAAACTGACATTGTAAATAAGTAAGCAATCGGATAGCTGATATCAGCAAATGACGGTAGAAGATAGCTCATTTCCAGAAGTCTCGACTCTGATGGACGAAGAGTTTTTCAGTGCATTTCCACCCTTAGCTCAACGCGAGTCCCTCGGCGTCACGTTGCGATCCAACCTGCCACAAATCTGTCGCATTCCATTCCGACGCGTGTCTCTCTGCTGGCAGTGTGTGCCACCACCACTGCACGCATCTGTCCATCACTCCTCCTTCCTCTTCCGCTTCAGCTCACCTCAAGAGCGACATCAGTCGCATCTACCAGCAGGCGACCTGTCTCCTTCCTTCACATCACCTGCGTTCGTCTCGCTTCAGCGGAGCGCTGCCTATCCGAAAACCACCTCCGCGCCCGGGCCGTCGCACACAGAGTCACCCATTGTTGCAACACGTGCCGCGGGTGGACGAAAAACGTCCAGGCACCCGCTGGCTGTCGAGCGGGGTGGGTTTTTGTTAGAGTCGGGCCGCGGCGAACCAGAGGGAAGGCTGACGGGCGATGGAGCGGTGAGTGACGCGACAGGGGGTCGATCAGAGTGGGTGGGTGTTTGTGGGGGATTTGGGGGGTGTATGTGGAGGATTTCGTTGGTGTTTGTGTGTGGGATTGGTGGTTGGGTGTGTGTGTAGGATTGGTGGGCGTTGGTGCTGGATTGGTGGGTGTATGTGGAGGATTGAGTTGGTGTTTGTGTGTGGTGTTGGTGAATGTTTGTGTGGCTATGTGATGTTGAATGGTAAAAACTGCAGGAGAAACTGGAATCTGGAACTGGAAACAAGACCACCGGTTTGCTTATTTCTGACTTGCACTGATTGACATGTGCAAGACTGATCGATAGCTGCTCAGATGCGTTTTGATGCTTCCATAATATAAAAACAGCGCTAACTCCAGAAAGGCTCATCGGCACGATTTTCCAAATACTAATTTACTGCTTCAAAAGGTTTCAAACCACCTGAAATGAGTTTTCTATAGTTTGTGGAAAAATAACCAGCTGGATACCTTGATAAACCTCAACGTAGTTAGTAAGACATCAACAGCATTAGGTTAAAACCCCCGGCTCGAAAGTGGGATGTGAAGAAACATTTTCCTCCCAACCCGACAAGCGTCGGACGGTCACAGAAGCTTTGTCCCGGCGCGGTGCTCGTTTCCGAAGGTGCATCACGGGTCATAGTGGTCATTTGGCCACGGACCTCCCTCTGCGGTGGTGCCCACAATTGGACCTCGCCCGGTCATTTGGGGTCATCTAGCCCGATTGCCTCAGGGCTTTGTGAAATAGACTCGGGGGTCGGCCGAGGATGCTGTATGGAATTGCAGATGATAGCGACTGTGCTTGGAATGATAACAGCGCCGCTGCAATACAGAGAAGTTGGTGGTATGGAGCTCGACTGAAGTTTGGGCAAAGTTGGCGCAGAACTCACGTCGATTAAATCCTAGTCTGGGCCTGTGAGCATGTGTTTTGGTGGAAGGCAATGCTTGAATGCTGGCCGGTCACCCTCAAGTGAAGCAACTTATTCAATGGTGCGTGTTGCTGTATTGCTAAAACACTAGCAACTAAGTTCCAGTGTGCTACTTTTAGATGCAAAGGACTAAAGAGTCATGCTTACAAATATCGGCGCAGATTCATCACACTTTTTGGCGTGGCTGCTGCTGTAAACGATGATTCGTTCTTCAAGGACAGGCATCTGGTACCAAGTACAAACCATCTGCAAAGGAAACATCCATTTATTCAGACTCGAGCACATTGATAGCTTGCAGCTGTCGCCTTCGTATCATGCTTATTTGTGTTTATTGGATTCAAAGATGAATCGGGCCTCATGGTCGCTTTGCGGCCAGACTTCTCTAGAAGTGTCTGGTACTGAACACCGTGTACATAAACTATGCAACGGTAAAATGAGGAATCTCTGACGAAGCAAAACTGTTTTTACATTTCACCAACCGTACCTACTAAAACGGTATGTTTGCACCATCAAATCGTGTTGTTTATATGCCCAGGGCATGTAACATATTCCCTTGATTGCCGGAACATTTTTGTGACCGACTCGGCTGATGTGTGAACTCCTTACCGCCCTCCACTCAGCTTGTCTTTTAGCACGCCGCCTGAGGACGGACATCATCAGACCCCCGGAGGAGCTGTTGGATCGCGCAGCTCTGGCTCGTGTCACGTCGGTCTCCCGTCAAACTGCCGAACACCGCCACTGATTAGTACTTGCTCCGAAAATAAACAGCTGCCCCATCGACGGACTTCTTCTCCAGTCTGCAACGTGGCCTCGTGACCCGTCTCGATCAGCCTCTGCTGGAGGGGTTACAGCGGTGGGGGGAGAGGAAGCAGACCTCCTCGCGGAACGAAGGAGGGTGTGACGGCGCTTCTGTTGGAGACTGGCACGCGGGAGTCGAGACAAATGGACAGAAAAACGCCCCCGGATGGTAAACATTTGCGTGTCTGGCCCGCTCCCCTCGCTGTACAGAGTCGCTAATGGAACGCGGGCCTGGCAGGCGCGATCAGGGGGCAAGTGCTACATGTGAAGACGCCAGGCGCCGCCGGCGGCGGGGGAGCGGCGCGCTCCAGGAGAAATAGCGGTGTTTGTGAAGTTGGCTGTTTGTGAAACGGTTGAACGGGCAGGTATTTACTACGAGTTTGTTTGAGAAACTCAGCTCGTGGGACGGGAACGCAATGTTTGTGGAAGCGGGCTGGGTGCAGCCCAGAACGGTATGACACGGCTGTTGACTTTTACCAGATAAAAATCTGGTGGTTTGCACCAAACCGTGTCAAAACGATGCGATTCTACATGATGAGACCGTTGCATAGCAGTTTTCTCCCATGGGTCTTAAAAAAGCTGACACCGTTTTCGGCCGTATGTGCCTAAATAACTTGCCTTCTTTACAGGCGCCAAGGTCCCAGTCCCCTGATTTGTTCTCTTCCCAGTGTGATAGCTAACAAGTAACAACGCCGTTCGTTTTATTTTTAATGCATTGGCGCTTGCATCGGCATTTGCGTTAAGTTGCATTGATGTGTTTTTGGTTTCCTTTGAACTTTGTCATGTTTGGTTTGTTTATGCCTGCCTTTTCTGTGATATTTCCTTCGTACCGTAATGTGTTACGCTGTAAACATATCTCCAAATCCCAGTCAGTCGCTGTACGTTTGTATGTGTATATGACCTCGCCTTCTACCCTTGTGTCCGCGCATACCACTGCTTTACGCCCGCCACCATATCCGTAGCTCGGTTCCGTTTGATGCACCGGTGTCCTCCTGTGATCCGTCTGCGTATTTTTGCTGTTTGGTGCGGTGTGTCAGCTGCTCGAGACCCGTGGACGCGGTCAGCGTTTTTCTGTGTTCGGCTGACAGACATCCGCGATGGGCTGTAAATCTCCAGGATTGACAGTCATTGCGGTCACTCGCATGCCGCACAATACAATTCAAATTGACGTGGCTGGTTTTGAGAGTCTTTGCGCAAGTGGATAAGACGATTGCGCGCGGTTTTGGCATCCCTTTGTTTTCAGAATGTGAAGGCGTATGTCAAAGTGCTTTTCAGAAGCGCTGTCGTATTGCTATTTGAATGCCGTCTGCGTTTTTATGCCGAGTTGGGCGCAGCTAATTATTCAGGTGCTCGTAACTAGAGAAACCGGGCGTATCAGGCGCGCACACAGGATTTTTGAATGGGGGGGGGGGGCACGACCTTCGAACTGGGCCCCCATGCCGAAGGGCCCCCCCCCCAAAAAAAAAAATACGGCCCACAGGGCTATATTTCGGTTGGTTTGAAGCTTGAGCAATTGGTTTGTCAATGCATGGTAGGTAAAACAATTATTTCGGTACCAGCTTAATTTTCAAAACATATATATTTTTACGCTAGCATGTTTTTTAGCATTTTTTTTTCGCGGACCCCGGGCCCGCGAGTCACCCGGGGGCCCGGGGTCAGCTCAGGCAAGGATGTATCCAGGACCTTTCGATGGGAGGAGGAAGACACGGTGGGTCCAGTCTCACTGGCAGACGGGTCTCTTTAAAACGGTCTTTGCATGAGAAAATGTGGAAAAACGGCAAGCAAAAGTATCATTTATGCCCGAGGAGTGTGCCTAATGTACACTAATGCCTAATTTACATGGTATTTTATGAGCGAGCGAAGCGAGCGAGCTCCTCAGAGTCACCGGTGTGTGGCGCGCTCAGAGGTGCCAGTGAAAGGCCGTCAGATGCGCTGGTGTTGGGTCCTCACAGGCGCCGTTGCGGGGTCTTAGGGCTTAGAGACACTGGTGGGGCCATCATTGGCATGTGTGTGGCCCTGCAAAATGGCCTGCAAGTGGAAAGTGGCCCGTCATAGGCTGGCAAGGACACTCGGAGGCTGGTAAGAGGCCCTCAGAGTCACTGGTACGTGGTCCTCAGAGGCGTCGGTGTGGGGACTCTCAGAGCCGCCGATGTAGGCCCTTAAGATGCGCTGGTGGGGGTCCCTTGGAGGTGGGGCGAGGGGCCTCGCAGTTGCCGTTGTGGGTGCCTTTAGAAACACTGGTGTGGACCGTGTGTCTATCACAGATAGTGGAGCCACAGCAGCCAATTCCTCGTTGGCCGTTACTAGGGCCCTGAGCGGCCGGCGAGGTCTCTCAGAAACCGGCATTGGGCCTTTATGAAGATAATTGTGGCTACATAGGAGCCAATAACGTGCCCCCACAATCCCTGTGGTGTCCTTCCGAGTTGAAGTGCGGCCAGCGCGAACCCTCTGCTACCAACTGGCGCCGCAGGGCCCCTCGGTTTCGAAGGAACCCTAAACCCGAGAACGGGCACGTACCCCCTCGCTCCCTTGCTATGTCACTGAATCCAAGTGATTAGGGGCCCTTTAGGTAATCAGGGGCGTTTCAGATGACCAGGGGTTTCAATTGATCAGGGGGCCCACCAGGTAACCATGGGCCCCTCTGGTAACCAGGCGCCCCTTAAGTAACGAGGAACCCCATCAATAACCAGGGCCCCTCAGTAAACGGGGGCCACTCAGGTAAGTGTAGGAGTCCCGCAGAAGGGCCGGCAAGGTTTCTCAGGTCCGTTTTTTGACAAGGCTCTTATTGACTCAGGTGCGAGCCCTTTGCCATCAGCAGGGGGCCCTTTCAAGCCTTTTGAGGGCCGTTTAACGTCTCTTGAGTTCCCATTGAGGCCTTCTAAGGGCCCTTTGAGCAGTCGAGGGACCTTTGAGGCCTTTTGAGGGCCTCTTGACGTCAGCTGAGGACCGTTGGACGCCAGCTGAGGATCGTGTTTTTGGGCCTTCTGATGGCCATTAGACGCCAATGGATGACCCTCTGACACCAACTGGGGCCCTCTGACACCAGCTAAGGGCATTTTAAGTTTGACGCTAGCTCAGGGCCCTCTGACATTAGCTGGGGGGCCCTCTGACGCTAGCTCAAGGCCCTTTGACGCTCTTTAACCCGCGAGTTGCTGGGGGGGGGGGCGTTAAACGCCCCCACTTTTTTCGCCGGGCCATAGCATAAAAACGGCGCGCCGTAGGCGCGCCAAATTTTGGGTACCTGTAGGGAATTGATTGAAGTTTATTGTGACAAAGTTTCAAAAAAATCGGTCGGAAAATTTTTGAGATATCGAGGTTTTAGTGACGTCATGATTTCTGAGTTTTCGACCAAAAACGGCATATGTTCAAAAAATCATATAAAATCACAGAATAGACATACAGACATGCCGTAAACGCCATTAGACTGCCAATACCATGATCAATCAAATGGCTATCTTCGATTATTGATTATCTTTCCGCATTTTCCATAATCTTGAACTGAGCCTTGGCAATTTTTCGTGACTACTTCGCGACCATGATACATGAATTTCTTAAATTGAACTTTTTGAGCCAAACACGTACACATATGATAAAATGAATGTCACCATCGTGTTCTACGCCCCAAATTACCTATAAAACATGTGTCACAGGCTGCGAATATCAGTTTTGATTTTCGGGGATATGTGCCTACCCGGTTGCCCTGACCTTGACCCTGACCTATGCTTGACTGACCCCTACATGGAGCTGACACTCTTGTAGGCCTTATAAGATGGATTGTGCACCGTTTTCACAGAGTTTATGGCGAGAGGCGCCCATTGCGAAGTCCTGAAGTCCATGCTACTGAAAGCCCGATTTCAGGTGTTTGACCTGACCTTGACCCGACCTGTGACCTCAAAATTCAACTTTAAAGTACTCATCTGAAGCGTCTCGTCGCGCTCTTTCGTTTGCCGCCTCGTGCGTTTCGCTGCGCCCATTGGTTCTCGAGTTATCGGCTGGGGGCGTTTAACGCCTCCCCCCCCCCCCCCAGCAAACGGTGGGTGGCGAAATACCCCAGCAACTGCCGGGTTAAGGCCTTCTGAGGGCCCTTGAGGTCTTCTAAGGGCCCCTTAAGGCTTTTTGAGGGTCGCTTGACGCCAGCTGAGGACCGTTTGAGACCTTCTGATGGCCATTTGGCGCCAGCTGGGGGCCATCTGGCACCAGCTGGGGGCCCTCTGTCACCAGCAAAGGACTCTTAAGAGCCCTCGGAGAGCCGTTTGACGCAAAGGCATGACCTTCTGACGCCAGCTCAGGGACCTTTGACACCCTTTAAGGCCTTCTGACGTCCGTTTGACGTTAGCTGAGGGCCCTTTGAGGCTATCTGAGGGCCCTTTAAGGCCATCTGAGAGTCCTTTGAGGTCATCTGAGGGCCCTTTGACATCATCTAAGGGCCCTTTGACACCAGATGAGGGCCCTATGACGCTAACTGAGGGCCCTTCGAGGCCATCTGAGGGCCTTTTGAGACCATCTGAGGGCCCTTTAAGGCCATTTGAGGGCCCTTTGTACACGGTCTTCGGTGGTCTAAGGATTAGTTAGAGGCCCATTTGAGGCGGCCTTCGGCCGCCTCAAATGGGCCCCTTCCTTCGAGTTGGGCCCCCCAACTCGAATGGGGGGGGGCACGGGCCCGTGTGCCCCCCCCCCCTTGTGTGCGCCCTTGGGGCGTATGAATGACAAGATGAAGATTTATTGAAAACTGGGCTGGCTTCCACCTTTCTTTTGCGCGCTAATGGTCATATATCACTTTTATGCAATCTGGGAGTGACATGCTCGTTAAAGGAGCCATCAGTTACTTTAAACAAATTGACGCTGAAAGCTACTCCCCCAGCTGCTTCTTTGCTAAACTCATTTCAGTTTCTTTTCTGTGTTGCTCACTTTTTGCGTAAGGTTTTATGACAACGCCAAGGCCGTATGCACGTGCAATTGAGGAGTCGAATATTGTTTAGTCTCATCACAGAGACGAACCGTCGCCATATTTATTTCACGAATTTCATACTAGCCTCGTCTAACTCCACGTGTTTTTCTATTCCAGAGCACCTTCTTCTACCGGACGTCCTTCCCACCGGACCAAGCCTGGATCAGTCGGCTCCGGTATTTCTCGAGGTGCCAGTTCCGACCTACGTGCTCCGCAACAAGCCAGCCACACTGACCTGTCGGGCGGCGCACGCTTTGCATCTCTATTTCCGCTGCAACGACCAGCTGATGGCCGGCAGGGAGCACTCTCAGGCTAGCTATGTGGACCCTCAGACCGCCATTAGACAGCTGGAGGTCAAGCTGGACGTGGACAAACGTACTGTTGAGGAGTACTTTGGTGACTATCAGTGCGAGTGTGTGGCCTGGAGCAGCCGAGGGGAGAAGGTCAGCGACAGCGTCACCATCACCGCCGCATGTGAGTACCCGGGAATGGAGGAAACGGGTTCAAACCCCGGTCCGGTCATGCACTTTCTATTCACTGAAGCATGAAGTCATTGTCTTTTGTCATTGTCCTTTGTGTTCTCCTTCGTAATTGCTAAGTGGCCCAGCTTACTTTACTTAAGGTGCTTCCTCACTGTGTTTATCCAGCCACGCTATTTTGATAAACTGTCTCCTATTCCCTCTCCTGCCTCTCTCCCTCCCCACGAGTCGTGCTGTCTGGCCCGTCCCGTTCATCTGCGCTCTAAAATCCCACACCGCCTTCCATTGTTCCGGAGAGCCATTCCACCCATCCGCCGCTCCGGGACGATAACATCGGCACTCTGATCAGACCAGCCGTACCGCCCCTCCAATGTTTCCAGCCCTCGTCAGTCACATAGGCTGCTCCTCCCTGGACCCTAACGCCCCCTGCCGGGTCTGTTTACCCGCCACGGAAGCGACACACACACGAGCGCTGTTAGTGTTGCCGGTTGCAGAAATGTTTTTCCGTAGCTCTGGACGCCAGTCGGCACACAGACACACACACACACACGCGCGCCTCCTGTGGTGCCTTCCGTGGCGGTGGAGACTATTTTGGCCCTGCAGGAGGGCCGACAGAGTTGTATTTTTAGTGTTTGTTTTCGTCACTAAGCGGCACAGCTCGGGAATGGTATTCCGTGCGCGCGTAAATGTGGCGTTGATTGGTGGAGGGTGGGATGGATGAGTGAAGAGCGAGATGGGAAGATACCAGGGCGTCCCTAACTCATTATACCCATTACACGGTTAGATATGATGCACTGAAGATAACCTTGCATGCTTGGGCGGTTACCCCATGGCTCCGTCTGGTAGGTATTTCTCGCGTCCCGCATTTAGTCTCTCATATCGCCCTCACGACGCTTGGCAAGAAGACACCACCAAACGCCGCGCCGCTTTCCCAGAGTTCGCCCGACGCTAACCTCGCGTTTCTATGCCTCGCTCTTTGTGCTGTCCTGTTTTTCGTTGCACCTTGGAGGCTGTGAGCGGCCGCTGGCTGCCCGCTGTGAGGTGTGGGCTCTGTCCGGGTGCGCTGCGCTGACTGAGGGCTGAATTAATGAGCAGAGCGGCTGTCTGTGAGTTGACAGACATCGTCTCGCAGCCTGGGAGACAGCCGCGTACCTCCAGGGTCGGCTGCTCGGGCACAGCTGGAGCTGAGCGCGCACGCACGGCGGCGCGACGGTGACGGCTTCTTTAAAAAGCAGGACCCGAGTGAATGAGCTCGAGCCACGAATGCTCAATATGTGATAGTCCTGTGCTATCGTGAAAGTGCTGTGGAAGTTTTGTTTCAATATGGGTAGCCATATGTTTCGTTAGAATCTTCAAATGACTCGCATATTAAGGGTCTGCTGGGTCTCTTTTTATTGTCCTCATCTGTTTCGCCGCATAATTTATTCAAGCTACCTCAATGCGAACATATAGACTAATGTGTCGTATTTGTTTTCATCCCCACAATCCATGTGCTACACATCTCACGTTGGAGATCTCCATGGTTTACGCTCCACCGTTTAGAAACAACTCCCCACTTTCCTTGCCCACTCATGTTGAGAGCACCAACACATCCGCAACAATGAGCTCCGCAGTCACGGCGCCGGCAGTGCTGCCCGCCTCTGACGTTCCACTGTAACCGATTGCCTTCCTCTGGTGCCGTTTCGGTAGCCGATCGGTCTCCTGCCGTTCCACCGAACGGTTCTGTGTCTTGTGGCCGGCGGGCCGACGCGAGCGATGGAGTGTCCTCTTACCCATCAGGCATTTCGAGGGTGGAGGGTCTGTTCGACGGGCCTAAACGTTTTCATGGGTTGTATTGGCGAGTTGATATTCTTCTGGGTTATGTTTATGTGAGTTGCAGGAGGCTGTTTAGGGATGTTGAAAGGTGCAATGAAATTCCTTGCGAATATCTCCAGGTTTGGATTGCTCAAGGACGCACCATCGCTCCCCTGTCATTTGTGGCACGCGCGCTCATGGTGTTTGATCAAATCGGACAGGATTTGCATGCCTGCTTATGAATAGCAATGCTGCATTCCATCGGGCGGTTTTTCCAACTCACCTAATACCTCGGTTCTGCGCATTGACTTACTCGTACCACTTGGCAATACCAACCAAAGTATACAGAACAGCCAATCAGGCACACTCGTGCATCTATTCAGTCCTCTCAAAGCCGTCAGCGGATCTCATCTCGAGTGTCATCCAGCCCAAGTCCTTGCTGTAATCTGAATAGCGGCTACCCCTCTGAGGGGCTCTGTCTTGTGCGGCCCCTGTATTGATCAGATCCGCCCTGTGTCGATCCATTCGTGTCTGCTCCGACCCTCTGGTTAATCTCCGATCTTGGCAATGTCACAGCAGGCCTGCCGAACCTCCCCTCGGAAGACGACTGGTCTGGAGACGGGCCAGATCGTCTGGAGGGGGGGGGGGTGATCGGAGGGGGCGAGGTCTGCCGGGGCAGCGCCTGCGAGTGATGGGATGGCAGAGGCAGGCCATCGATAGAGATGGAGTGCCTTCTGAGGGGCGGTCACATCTGGTGTTGGGTGTTTCGTGCGTTGCTGTGTTGATTGATCTCTTCGCAAATGATCCCGTAATCGATGGGCTCTGAAACTTTGGATCTCTGTTACCGATATCATAGCGTCATGTTTTGCATATGGTATCCTTGAAGGTTGTATTTATTCATGTTGATGACCATCACCACCAAAACATTCGCCGCTATGGCCACTCAATCTGGGCTTGTAACAGGCGACAAATTACGCTTGCCTCCCGTCTCCCCTACGCAGGAGGTCCCGATCAATTAATCCGACACATCGCGTCCGACACACGCTCGGATCAACCTATTCTATCCACCCTATCGATCTACTCTGCCTCCTGATTCACGTACTTCTCTTCTCTGAATAGTCGCTCTTATCTAAACACTGACTTCTGGTGCATCCCTCCGCAGTGATTTTCGTTCCAGTCTGCCCCTTTCCATTTGATATTTATCAGCTTCCTAATCGTCGGATGCTGTTATGTTCTGTGTACTACATGCTTTCTCCCCTCCCGTTCTCCCTCCAGCACCCCTCCCCTCCCTTCTCCCCTTGGTACCGCCACGTGACCATCACTTGGTCCTCGGCGATCGCCCCAGGGCACGCCCGATCTGGTCCTTAGTCACAGTCCCGTTGTAGGCATTTGCGAGCGTGTATGAAGCTTGTGTGCGACATAAAGGAGAGAATATCCAGTCTATGGGGTCACCTATGAGAGAACTTTCCGTTAGACATTATTGCCTCTCTTATAGATGCACATACAATGTTCCCTACTGTGATGCACAGCAGCATTATAACGATTTTTGCGGTGAATCAACGTGCGCATTATAGTGCACCTCGATTTGGTTTTGTTGATGGGCTTTACATGTGAAGTTCTGGTAATGCTTTCCTAAGCGGGCGTGAGAAGAAAATCGTTCGATATCTCTTTATGGCACCAAGCTCGGAACAAGGAAATGTTCTCCAAAAGTGAAACTTGTTGGTTGTCTTTGTTGGCTTGCACTGCCAGCCAACTACGCCGTTCAGCCGCAAGTGGGGCGACTTGAATGCATCACTACCGGCAGCTTTCACGCCATTACATTAATCCTATCCGATCCGTGTGGCTGAAAGTGGAGAAACCATTAAAACAACACCGCTTATAGTTAATACGGTAATGGCGTTCTTCTGGTGATTTGTGGTGGTGATAGGCCAGTGTTGTGTCAAAGGGTAATGGAATCACGAAATAATTGAACCGGCGCCCGGTGGAAATGAATGAAGATGGATGACCGCCGGTTACAATTTACCGTAACCTAGATTGTTGAGAGCAAAACGCAATCTGGTAAATGATGACGGACGAGCCTGGTGGATAATTCGTTCTGTAATTACGTCAGATAGCAGTCGTGTTGCGCTCTTAGGACGTTGGTTTCTTGTCCCAACCGCTTCAATTAATGGCCCAGTGCAACTGTTGCACGGGTGGAGAAAAGGCGTATACTAGATCATTTACGGTGCAAATAAAGCATTACCAAATTGGCCACCTCTTCAGGTTTGAGATAGGGATAACTACCTGAAATAGCAGTGACCTTGAATGTTATTTCTTTCCGATCATGAGCTGATCTTTTACTCTTTCACACATGAAGATGCTTCTGCCAATGCTGCATTTTTAATAAACATGTTATTTATTTGCTAACAAACCGGGTGCGAACTTTGCCACTTCACACACTGACACACGGTTCACAGCCATTTTAAGCGTTTCCGTTTTTCTAACTCTACCAACAGGTGGCGGTGTCGTTTTTTACCGACGTCAATCTTGGACAATGACCCGTTGTGGTGACGCCGCGCCGTAAAAGCGTGCAGTGCGCCAATCTCGCCGACACAACCGCGCCATTATCGGCTCTGCTGTGGTGTGTTTTTCTTCTTCGGCAGTGGCGCCCCGCGTAATGCTTCTACTCGGCTATCCTTCAATGTTGCCCCGGATAATATGGTACTTATGCAGTGCCGTACTGGTTAGGGTAATGCATTATGGCAGCAATGACGCGTTATGTTGGCCCTAGCTCCACCCGTCTATGGTAATGTATAATTCCTCGATACAGGTAGTGGACTACTTCCTGTCACTTCCGGCAACTTCCGGTCACTTTTGGGTTACTTCCGGCTCATATTCGGCCAAAACGTGCTCGGAATAGGTGATCATTGGGAAAAGCAGCCGACTGCCTGAACAAGTGAACAGCCTGCATGGCTGCCTTGTATGCTACTTGTTTGTGATATGTCCCTGGGCTTAAAGGGACACTCCCACCTTAACATTAGTTTTGAGTTGAGATAGCCAAATTGGTGGCCATGGCCTGCAAATACCGGTTTGGGCACTCACAACACCGACAAATGCTTTAATTCGGAGATATGGAATTTCAAACTTGCAGTTTTCGGATTCTAAGGGGCTAGTGCATTGGTATGCCCCCTTAGAATTTGTGACATCAGCGGAGATCTAACG